ATATATATATATATATATATATATATATATATATATATATATATATATATATATATATACTATATTATTACATAACGATACACAATTTCGAAGATCAAAATTTACAATTGCCTTTAGTCGCGTGTTTCTCATGTCTCTTGCGCTGACTGTCAACTGTTCGATGTGTGTACGTGTCTGTTCGTGTATGTATGTTTCGTGTAAGTAAGTATGAACTTTTTTCGTGTCCGCCGTGACTAAATTATGAAGCTAACGCTCGTGCGATCCGGCGACGCTCGCATCGACGCGCCAGGTTGGGCCGATCGATCGCGATCGTCGGAGGCTTCGCATATAATTTACGAATTTACCCTATGCGCTTTTATTACACTTACGTGGACTATCACTAACCGGTACGACACACAGAACGGTGCTGGACCAATGGACGCCGACGGTGGACAGGTAGAGGCAAAGTAATATAAATCGAAAGTTTCTAAAGAAAAAGCTCGATCTCGGAAACTGCCGACATTAATTCGCGACCAAAGCTCAATTCGTGGCTCGAGACATCGAGTAAAAAGACGTTTCAATTCCTGAAAAATGCATTATTAATTTCTAGATCGAGATAACGAGGCTCGATTGACTCTTCTTTGGAGAAAGGGACTGAATTCCGCACGCGCATTTATCATACCGTAAATTTATCATACCGTAAAATTCCCCAAGAAAATGAGCACTTCACTGGGCGATCGAAATGCCTCGATTATTGCTGATCGCGTCTGCTCGCGAATAAAAACGCTAATTCTTTAAGCTGCCAGAAGGAGAAACATGAATTTTTATTTAGTGATCTGGATTGCTGCATGGTGGAAAAGTCGCTCTCTGAAAAGAGAGAAGGTCTCGACGTTCTCTCTTTCGAAAGAGTTAGGCGGATTAGGATATTGCGAGCCGTGGCAAATGGCCATTTGCGAGACTGTCAATTGCCGTTTCGTCAATTGATGCGTCAATTATGCCGAAAACGACAAAAGGGAGAGGGAGGGGGGGGCTTCGACGAGCCTCGGAGTCTTTTGCGCGAGACCCGCCGGCGCGACGGCGAGGATCTCTGAGGAACGTCCAAACGATCCCGCACCGCGAGTTACGAACGCCCATTTTAATAAAAACATCTCTTGAAATTGCACGATACCGCGTCGGCTTCCGTGCGTGGCATGCACGCGCATGCACTCTCTGGAACCCTCGCGTGCTTTTTGCGGCACTCGCGACTCTTCGCACTCGGAATCGATTTCAGGCGCGGAGCGCGATCCGACGAATTCGACGCTGAATTTCACGCTGTTGACCGTCGCGCGAGGGATTTTTATATATAACGCGCATTTCTGATCCTCCGCGCGACGGTTCTCCGGTGATCCTCCGCTCGATCGTTCGCCCAGAATCCTCCGAGGAGTCAGCTAAAACAGGTCATCACATTCGGGCACACTCACGCACTCACTCGCTCACATCGCGCACGCACGCACGCACGCACGCACGCACGCACGCACGCACGCACGCACGCACGCACGCACGCACGCACGCACGCACGCACGCACGCACGCACGCACGCACGCACGCACGCACGCACGCACGCACGCACGCACGCAACGCACGCACGCAACGCACGCAACGCACGACACTACACACTACTACACACACACACTACATACTACGTAACCTACGTACTACGTACACTACACTAATACTTAACGTCCTTAGTAACTACGTACTACTAGTTACTACTACGTACGTACTACGTTAACTACTACTAACCGTTTAATACGTAACGTACTACGTAACGTACGTAACGTTACGTACGTACGTACGTTACGTTACGTACGTACGGTACGTACGTACGTACGTAAACGGTAAACGGTTAAGGTTAACGGTTAACGGTTTACGGTTTACGTTTTTTAGTTTTTCGTTTTTCGTTTACTTTCTTTTTCTTTTTCGTTTTTTCCTTTTTTTCTTTTTCTTTTTTACAACGAGACAGTGGTGGGTTGCGTCCTGAGCTGCTAGTCACTCGCGATTCATGTGTACTCCGATCGCCAGCCAGTCTGAAACCAGACAAAGATTACCACACTCTTGAGATGCTCTACTTGCCGGCCGCGGGTGAAGGCTCTCCTTTCGCGATTAACATTACCGCTTAGAAAACGGAGACGCGAACGTAGAAATTACACCGGCAGCGACAATCGAAATTTAACGGTCGAAACTTCGCGCGACTTCGTCGAGAAAATAATTCGCGTTGAATTTCTGTAAGTTTCTTCGTGATCGCGTAAAGGCTGGAATATTTGAAAATTATGGATCTAACTGTTCGAATCATTTTTCACACACATATATCGAAGCTGAAGCGTATTAAGCTCGGCTCACTCGACTCGAGGGGAATCGACACAAACTCCCGCGCGGTAGATCCTGATCGATTATCGGCGGCCGAAGCCTTTGGTCAATCGCCGATGAAGGTAACAATCGTGCACTCACCATTGCGTTCGTCGTGGCCGCCAGCTGCAGACCCTGAAGACTCGTCATGTGATGAGAATGGGAATGCGAATGCGAGTGCGGGTGGATGGGGGGCGGCGCCGGTGGCGCAAATCCCTGATGAAGACCTCCGGCCACGCCGACACCCGTGTGATACATGTAATGCTGCATCGCCGGATGCATCGTGTGATGATGCTGCGACGTACCTGGAACGATAATGGGAAGCGTCGACCTTTTAAAATACCCCCCCTGTGCGTATGAATTTCGCATAAGAGACACGGCGAATCCCTTTCGTTCGCTATGCCGAGTTGCTTGAAAGGATGATTGTACTGAGAGATGTCATGCGCAATCGCGAATTCTCGTGTTAAGTGCGTTGTAAATTTAAGATAAATAAGCAAAGTCTTCCTCGCGATTTAGAAACAACTTTAGAAGTTACTCTTTTTCTGTCTCTGGCGTTTATTATTATATATTAATTAATTATTATGTTATTATTATATTAATAATGAATCGGGAATTTTTTGTAAAATTGTTGTATTTGATATAGTTCTGAAATTGTTAAATTTGAAACAGAAAAATCTCTATTAGCCGAAGACTTTAACTTACCCATCGGCGAGCCGAATCCCGAGTGGAAGGGCTTGTTGTCGAGATCGAGGTGTCCGCTAGCCTTGATCATATCGCCCATGACACCGCCGAGGCCTAGGCAGCCGCCGGCCTTCTTCTTCTTGCTTTTCGACGAGAGCTTCCTGTTTCTCGTCTGGATGCCCTCCTTTTTCATCGTCAGCGGTCGGTTCACCTGCAACAGTCGTAGACAACAGTTCGCTAAGTATAGAAATTTATTCTAGGTAGTAACCGCGTGATTTCGCATGCGAATACTCCGTTAACAAAGCAGCGACCGAGACACCTAATCGCGCAGATTTACGATTGCAATCACATAAAGGCGAATCATCACGATTATTATCTGAATCTTGGGGAAACTAAAATGTCCAATCGTGTCGTCGCGACACTTCCACGAGCTAGTTTTGAGAAATGGAATAACAAATTCATAAAATGAGGGACATGAGGAATCAGCCGAGGGACTAAAATTATCTTGACACGAACGAATGCGATGACGTAACGGGGAAAGACGGGGAGAGGGAAGGAGGAAGCATCGCAATCGTCGGAAGATGTTATTCATTGGAGTGCAGCGCGTTGCGTTTTCTTCGTCCGACTGCACGGCGATGCTCGGCAATGTGCTCCGTACACAGGATCGTAAATCATCGCGTGTTGCATGTTCGATGGACAGAGAGAGTGCGGGGAATACCCTTCTTTATTCTAAACTTCAATCTGCGATTTTTCTCTCTCCGCGGCGTTCCATTTGGATTCTCCCATACCCGCGTGCCACGCTGAATCAATTCTCATTGCGTTCCTCTCGCCCGCAAAAGTCAGACTTTATCGGCCGGCACGTCTATCTATTTTTGCGAATCGAATTCATTTATAATATTTATTTAGGAAAATTTAGGAAAAGACCATAAGATAAATCGCGTTTTCTTCTCCGAAGGATGAAATGTTTAATATCAATAGTTTTAAAATGTTTAATATCAGTAGTTTCGACGGTCACTTCGGAATTGATCTTGAAGCGGAACGGAGGAGACCTCGTCGCGACGAGAGATAGAGCGCGGCGCGCATCACTGACGTAATCTCGTCGGCTCACCAGACGAGAGCGCGCAATTAAGGAATCCCTCAGATTCCTGGTAGTCTCTGAAAGTCGGTGCAATTAGCGAATCGACAGTCCCCGAGCGCAATTCGCGAGACGCTACGTCACCGTTGCGCATCCCGCGCGGCCACGCCTCGTCCGCGCGCGCTCACGCGAGAAGAAGCGAATAAGTCGTGGTATTGTTTCCCATCGGGAAGAAAAAGAAGAGGGAGGTCATCGGCTTCTCATTTCGATCGAAATTAACGATAAATACGCCCGCTGAAAATAAGCGGCCGAGCGAACTCGGTGCGACGCGATGCGTGGCATCCGCGGACGATCCGTGAAACCGACTCGAGAACAAGATCGCCAACGACAATTGTGACTCTGTTGACGCGATCTTTATCGCGACAATAACGTCGATACGTGTGACGTAGTTCCAAAGGAAAATCGATCGGGGATAAAGTGAAACATCGTTTTTTTTTTTTCTTTTTCGTTAACATGAAAATGTAGCAAACAGCATATTTCGAAGGTGCGAGTCGCATCGTCCCGTCTGTATAAAAATCATTTTCTAAAGGGGATCATAATTGCATAGAAAAAAAGAAGAAGGAAGTCCGGTGCGGGCGTTTTATTAATTAATCCTTTATTTACACGCCGATGCCAGTGGCAGGCACGCGTTGTCCGCGATGCATCATTCATCGGCATGAAAGCGTATTTGCGCAGCACGCACGCACGCACGCACGCATTCACGAAAGAAGACAACCTGTGTCGTATCTATTTATGTAAGGGGTGATCACGCCCGAAGGAAAATTACTACCTTTCAGCCGTATCGAGAAGGGAAACTTGAAGGAACGACAGAGTTCCACGTTACGCGCGCTTATGAATACGGCTGTATGAAATATGAAGAGAACAGCGGAGAAATCGCTACTTCGGATAAAATGAACGACGTCGGCGGAATAAGAAAGTAAACTCCGATAGTCGGACTCGCGATAGCCAGTGAGATAAATCATACAATCAAACGAGGATTCAACGTGGAGCGTGCCCCTCGAATTCAGCCGTTTTACCTCGTGAAAAAGTACTTCTCCGCGAGAGAAAGAAAGAACCGTAACGGCGAATGTCAGCTCTCAGAAAGGAGAGCTTAATTATCGGCTCACCCTGTATATAACGAAACGCGCGCTCGTGTGCGCGCAGAGATGCACGCGCGCTCCGTGCAATGCTTAAGTACGAAATAAGTATGGTATGCAAGTGTTGTGTATTGCATCGAGTCGGGTCGGGATGGGGGAGGAAGGAGGGTGGGGAGGAATCGCGGCGCTTTGTAGTCGCCGCGACGTGACACAACTGCCAACTTGGGGGAAAAGGTTCCCGGTATTGTACTGGATGCGAAGAAGGTGGTGTGAGAACGCGCGTATTTTCTGTGTGTGTGTGTG